TTTTTTTTTTTTTTTTTTTTTTTTTTTCTCTTTTTTCAATAATTTAATTCCTAAAATATTTTATTCTATAATTATCAATTTTTTCTTTTTTGTAGAAACATTAAGCTAATCATATACTGCAATTTAATTAGTCAAAACATATTAATTACGTTCTTAAATTCTCTCAATTCCCTTTCACTCAACTCCCATTCTGTCTACATGGCCCAACTACACTTTTGGGCCCTAATACAGTAATTTGGGCCTAAGCTAAGACAGCCCAAACCAACAAAAAATTTGGGCCTATATATAATTTTTCTTAAAAGTGTGGATTTTTCATTTGTTTTAATTCTAGACATAATTTTGTTATGATTATAGTCATTAATTAACTAACTAAATGATATTAATTTGCTAAAACATTTAATTAATTCATTTTTACTAATAAAAGTTTATTAAACGAATAAAATTGAATTAATTAAACAGTATTCTTAAATATATTTAACTTTAGGTTAGGACACAAAAAAATAATTTTTGAATAATTATAACTAATTATTTATAGATTGTCTGCCACAAACTTGAGAGTTTATCTTTGAAGAGGGAAGGAGGGGGCAAGGGTATGGTGGTGGGTAGGAGTCGCTTTTAAATATTGTAAGTGAATCTACAAAAGCCAACGACCTCCATTCCATTAAGAAACTACCCACCCAACGCAACTGCTAAACCAACGGCCAATAACACGCCACATCACCGCTTGCATGTACTTGATCCATAAACTGATATTCAATAGTCAATTCAAGCGATTTGGTAGATAGATTTGCCAGTTTGAGAGACAGAGACAGAGCACTAGGGATTGATACATAAGAGATGAAACAGAAGCAATTATGAACACAAAAATTCTCAATTATTTCATCCATCCGTTTAATATTACAGCAAAGTATATATGAATTTGAAGTCTTGAACCATCTTGTTGGTTGGTTGGTTGGTCGGTCGGTCCAAGAACACTAACAGAAGCGAGAGCTCTAACTAATGACTACATCTGCTGTATTGAATAAATTATACGAACAAAAGAATACTTCATATTTAGCTGTAGATCCAAATGGGAGACAGAAAAGGAGAGAATATCATCATAACCTCTGGCCATGCTGAGAAGAGTGTCCCATCTTAGAGGGAGGTTGACAAAGGGACTCAATAATTCATTCATTCATTCATTCATTCAACCAGATTTACTTTTTATTAAATATTCCGCAATATGCCTCTGGAGGTCACATGGGTGAGGAGTAATCACCACACATCCCGCAGATACCTTCCGCCCATTTGCAGATTCTTCACCATGCTTTCAGCTTTTGAGCTGTCAAGAGATCCCTGAAATTTGATATCCACCAGCTGTTCTTAGGAGAATACACCAACAATGATATTACATATGCACAAACGACAAATTTGAAACCGTTGGATGGCTCAGCTATATTCACCAAAACTCAGTAATGAAGCTCTAAAGGGTAACGATAAAAGGAATTAGAAAAATACCTGCTCTTGCACGATAGTATGGAGAGTTCGGTGGACATCCCTGGCCATGCCCTTTGCATCACCACATACATATAAATAAGCACCTTGTGATATCAAATTCCAGATGTCTGAAGCCTGCATGTTTAAACGGAGATAAAGGGCTTTAATATCTTCTTCCATGAACACATAATCATATAGGCTACACCCTTGTTAACATTATCTTTTCACCTTCTCTGCCATTTTATGCTGCACATATTCCTTTGTTGGCCCTTCACGTGAGAAGGCAATAACCAACTCGGAGAGAGCACCAGTCTCAAGATAGTTGTTTAACTCATCCTCGTATATATAATCCTTCAAAAGTAGACAAAATGCATTAGTTTGAAAATCTATAAATAAACAAACAACAATGTATTTCTTCAACAGCCAGAATACAAGCTTTTAATCTAGGAACTTGGCATACCATTCCACGGTTTCTGCATCCAAAGAACAATATGGAAGACCCCAATTGTACTCCAGATTCTTTCAAAGCTAATCTTTCCTGAAGAGAGAATGTTTGAAGTTCTTTATTTTATAGAAGCGCATAAGTCAGGTAAAAGTAAGTCAAGGGTCTCAGAGGCAAGTTCGCAAGTAGAAACCTGTAAGAAACCTCTGAAAGGAGCCAATCCAGTTCCAGGACCAACCATGATAATAGGCACTTTACTATCTGCAGGAAGCTTGAAGTTTGATTGCCTCACGAAAATTGGAGCCCAACTGCATTCATCGCTTTTCGCCATGGGCACAGAATTCTAACAAATGCAGAAAAATTGTTAAATTCTCAAATATGGTCATAAATCACCCTATATTTGCTTCCATAAAAATCACCCTACACATGTTTCTAAGTGAAAACCTTCACAACTTATTTCTAAGTGAAAACCTTCAACTTATTAGTACATTAAGCCGAAGAATAGCCAAGCTATTGTAGGAAAAGATAGCACAATCCATAACGTCTCAAATTTAACATAAATCCTCTACAAAATAGGCATCTAAAGATGCTAAGAAACTTCAATTATTCAGGAATCAGAACTAATGCTATTCATCTAATATTGGGTAACACTAAAAAATTATAGCTTCTCGGAATTATATCAGTCATCTTTGCACATGAAGATGAAAGCAAGACACAACAAAGCATACCTTCATCCAAGTTGAGCAAACTCCTTTATGAACGCGTCCTGTTGGCATTTTGTCATAGACTAAAGCACATGTAACGTGAATTCTGGATGGAGCCATCCTGTTAAATGCACAAAATGCATAAATCAGTGACTCGGCATAAAGAGAATATTTACGAGATATTGAGAGAGAGATGAAAAAAGAGATATGTGGGTGATAGGCAGATGCAATGGGCAGTAGTATGCCTAGTCAATGACAATGTACGAGAAGTGATACTCTTCCCCAAATCCAAACATCAAATTTCTCTGTATGTTAACAAATCTTATTCCGATTAACTCCCCCAAAAATCCCAACTTATATTCCCTTTCTTGCGACTTATCTTTAAAACACACAGTGTTTTGCCTAAAATTAGAAAATTTTCTAATTCAATTTCCTAGACCAACTGGAGGCAAGTAAGAATTTCTATTCCATGCACAATGCAAACCTTATTTATGTAATGAAAATCAACATGAAACTTCAAAAGCCTTCATTCTAATCACACAAAATTATCTTGGGTGCCATAACCAAACCAGTTGAAAGAAATCAAAAGATAATAAAATTTGCTGAAGGAGAAGGTAAGGAAGTTATACAATGGAGATGATGATATGGAGTAGAATCGAGGCTGCAAGCGTGGTGCAACAGCTGCAAAGAAGACACCAAGTGGTGGCTTGGCAGAAGGAAATTCAATCATGACCTCAAGCAGGCTTTTCTGACAACCAACTATAGACAGGGAATACTCATCCTACACAATTTTAACCAAATATATAAGTCAGTGAGACTAGAGAAGTAGAAAGGTTCCAATTTATTAGGCTGTTAAAATCAGTACCTTGCCAGCAGGTGATGCAAGATATCTTAATCGGTCAGCCTCTACAGGATTTGAAGCATGCGCTGCTAACGCAAGCAACGCTGACTGAAAAAGTATATAGCAAGTTTAGATTAATCACCTCAATTGACAGAAAGATTCCCCAACGAACCAGAAGCATGAAGCAACAACTCTGGAAAAAAAAAAAAAAAAAATACCTTCTTGGGTGAATTCAAAAGATCTGCATATCGAGCCAATGCTGTTCTGAGAGTGCACGATGGAAAAGGAGGTGGTAAAGAGTTTCCAACTAGTGGGGTACCATCCTCGTTATCAGTATGCATTGAGAAATACGTTTCAGGAGACAAACCCAATAAGTTCAATGCCTCATCCACAGTCTCAGTTAAATTTTCGCAGTAAACACCAACATGATCCCCGGTTTCATATCTGAGAAAGAGAACAGATGTTAAAAGGCAGTCAAATGCTACTAAACTATAGTACAGATTTATAGAAAAATCCTATCAATTAACTATACTCTAGCTTCCACTTCTCCTGACTAAGTTTATATTTCGTTCTATGCAGCCTACCCCATATGAGTTGGGTAAATAAGAAAAGCAATAAAAAACAGTATCTCTGAAGTCCCTCACAAACATCAATTGGGGATATACTTACTTGAGTGCAGACCCAGAAATATCGAACTCTAGATGAGTACAAGAGCGATCGGATGCAGGCATATGGAGCTCCTTCCTCACAACCACGTTAGATCTTCAAGCAATAAAACAATTAGTTAGATTCTTTCTACTTCTTTTCCTTGTTTTTAAATTTCCAGAGGGGGCAAGGTGGTGCAAATTAAAACTCAATACATCAAATTCTCACAACCTTAATGGATGTTGAGCATCATGGACAGCGTGGCCATTTGCATTCATCCAGTTCTTGTTTTCATCAGCTACACCTGCTGGATCATGGAATACAACTCGATATTCTGATATGGCAGCTGTGTAAGGTGTGGTCACTGCTGTTGCATCATCCTCATCCCGAAGTAACTGATCCAACTCAGGCCACAACAATTCTCGCCTGAGAAAAGTAGTAAATAAAGAAAGAATGAGAGGACAATTTTCTTTAACAAACTTCAGTAAACAGGTCACTGTCTCTGTACCAAGCAGCCAAGTCGTCCTCTATGCACTGATCGTCATCTCCAAGACCAACTTTCACAAGGCGCTTGCCTCCTGCAAACAAAATAACGAAATTGATTGGAAAACGTAATAAACTTAAACTATCTTCACAAAAACATTAATCCAAGCATAAGCTTAAACATGCTCTCGAGATTTCTCCTAAGAAACGAACGTCAGGAAGAAGGCAAGAGCATACCCTGAGTCTCAAGCAGCTCATCTACCACTTTTGCAATCTGTTGGTCACCAAAAAAAAAGTTGAAACTAGTTCACATCTTTGAATCGGGATCAGACACAATGCAGTAATCAATAATCAACAATGGACGCCTAGGAATTTGTAAAGGAATCCTTCAAACCTTATTAAAATGCTCATATTGTCGGTTGCCAAGGCCAAAGACTGCATAATTGAGGTTTTGCAGCCACTCCCCTCTCTCTTTCCCCTGTAATCATGCATATTGAATTCAGAAAAATAAGAGTGATCCGCACAAAACCAAATGTGCCGAAAGAAATTTTACCTCCGTGAACCATTTATAGAATCTTGCGGCATTATCAGTGGGCTCTCCATCGCCATACCTGCATTCCTCAACAATTAACCACTGGAAGAAACTAGAAAACAGGCTTAAATCCTGAACTGACGATGAAGAATCCAAATAAAAACAGGAAACCTTGAGCGTATACTAAAACTCACGTTGCTAAGAAGAAGACGGCAACAGACTCGTTCTTCAATTTCTGTTCGTACTCATCGTCATCAGCCCCATAGTCATCCTGTGAAATAAGGTTCACTTCAAAATGTCAGACCATAGTTCGTCAAGAATAGCCAGAGTGTACCAAAAGGTCATCCCCAACAACATCACAGACACAAAATATAAATAAATAATAAAAGAAGAAGAAGAAGAAGCTTACCAAATCAACAACTCTAAACGCGGCCTTATCGTACCGTGCTTTCGCCTCGTCAGATAGAGCCTGAGAACCATCGCGGTCACCCGTAAGCAACAGCCAAAAATTATTAACAAACAACCGAGTTAACAGAAATTCTCAACGCCTTCGAGTGTTTTCGAATGCAAACCTTCGCAAAGCCTTCGGCAGTGCCTGTCTGTGTACCGAAGAATATTGTAACCTTCTTCTTGCCGTCTTCAACTTCGGGCTCCACCCCCTTCGTAATCAACGGCTTAGGAAGCTCCACGGTCTTAACTTTCCGATTTCCGGATCTTCGCCACACGAGAACAACGAAGCAGCCAATCATGACGGCGATCGATGTGGTTAAGATCGCAACCAGCTCGCGGTTCTCGAACATAACCGAGGCACCCTCGGCAGTCGATTGGAATGAAGAATTAGACGGGTCCATCCGGCCCTTAATTATCGCCGACATGAACTCGAATGGAGAAGCCTTCATAGAACTGGATTCCGATTGCATGGTCGAATCCGAAACAAATCAGCTAAACACCTGACTGGAATCCGGTGGCGCAGAGAGGATACGGCCGAGTAGCCAAAGAAAAATAAAACCACCGGAATCCGGTTATTAATTTAAGAAGCTATATGAACTGGAAATGTGAATAGCAGTAGTAAGAAATATGCGGGAACTCCGCTGCACAACGGCGGAGGAGAAAGGCGGTGGCGTTAGTGGTTGCTGTGCGGTTGCGTTGAGAGAGCGAGGGAAATAGGGGAGGGATGTGTTTATATCGGGTGGGCAAAGAAGCGCGTGAACGAACCAACGCCTACCAAACCCGACCAGTCAAACCCACCGAACAACATAGTTGTAAGTTTTAACCATGGTTAACTCCCCCACATTCTGATTTCCCCTTCTCATTCCAATTTTGTTATAAATTATATATATAATTAAACAATTGCTCAACTTTCCACGTTTTCTGAAACTGAAATTTTATTATTATATATATTTTTAAAATGAAAATAATATATTGAAATATACAAACAAATCAAATCAAAAAACATATTATTAAGCAAAAATATGTTTTTAATTCAACCTAATTTAACGTAAAATTGTGCTCATCTTAATAAACATGATTAAAAGTCTATTAGAATTTATTGATTTCAATTGTGTTTTAATAAATATTACACAAAAATAAACGATATCAATTTATACTATTAATGATCTAATAAATATATTCCTATTAACTCTTAGTCACTCTAGATAATAAAACAGTTTTAATCTCATTGCATCCACATCGAAATGAACTATAGATGTTTTTTCGTTGAACTACGAGTATGAATAGCCGCTCCCGAACTGTTCTTAAGTCTAAGGTACACTGAATTATTGTAATGCCTATATTGCATTGAGAGACAAACAAATAGTAAGACCTGTGGAGATGTGATAAAATAGGAATAATAATTCACCATAAAACATTATTAACAAAAATAATGTGCACCGTCCGATCTCCACCGATACCTATAAATCTTGCGTCGTTTCCTTTCAATATAAAGTCATCGTGTTTCACGATGTTATTATTTTCTTTGAATTAAAAATAAAAATCTGCGGTCCTCTCGTTTCCATCATTTTCTCGTTGGATCACAGCCTCACACCGCAGTTTTTTTTTTTTTTTTTTTTTTTTTTTTTTTTTTTTTTTTTTTTTTTTTTTTTTTTTTTTTTTTTTTTTTTTTTTTTTTTTTTTTTTTTTTCCTATAATAATTAAATCATATAATTTTAAATTCACAACAATTTTTATTTATAGAATATCAATGGATATTCAAGGAAAATCATGAGTATCACAAAAACTTATGAAAATAATGTGATTTATTTATTTGTGAACGAACGGCTATTTAAAGCAAAAATATCCATGATTAAAACTCAAATAAATGCATTAATGCAATAATAGGTATAAACATTAATGGAAATTATGAAAAAATTTGGCCCAGAAATATATAATTAATAATTCAATTTAACCGAGTAATGTGTGTCAATAAATGTACATAAATGTAATTAGTTCATTAATTAATAGAAATGTCATAGATATAAAATTAGATAAGAACAAACATATAATTTATATAATACTAAGAAAAAGTTGGGGCAATAGTGAAAGATAAAAAATTTAATTTGAATTTTTATTTTATATATATTCATTGAACATAGTCCAGTGGATGTATTACTAAGTCAAGCTTATCAAATCATTCAAAATTTCCTAAATAATCAAATTCATACCATTATTTAATTCGCTGAATCTGAAATCAGAAAAATAAAATAAAGTTGGCCAAATATATTTTATTAGTCGGTAAATATGCAATTTCTTAGCTTAGTTTTCAAAATGGTAAAAATAATATATTATTTTTACTTGTGGTAGAGAGCGGCTAGCGTCAAAGCGCGAGACGGGAGGATTTGGGCTGCGACTTGGCGGGGAGTTGGTGGGGGAAAGTGGGTTGGTAAGAGGCAACGCAAGGAGAAATTGGTCAATTCACAGCTTTTCAAAAAAGAGGGGAAAAAAGTGGTCAATTTGAAATGGTCTGAAAACCCATTCTTCAACCACAAACCCATATCATTTCTTTATTTTGTAACTTCTACCTACTCCTCCCCCTCTCGGTTAGCTAACCTAATACCTTATGGCCACGAGCTAGCGACCGTTATACACCATGTATATCTGTGTTTATTGTAGTGCAAACTATGACACGTCAAGTTTTAGTTAGATTTAAATTTTTAATTTTATCTCTAACGTATCTGAATCGTCTGATCTAAAATATAAATGTTTGGTTAGTTGAGTGAAAAATATATAAAATTGGAATTTTTATTTATTTTTTTAATGTTTTTTTAGATGTGATTATGGGTGAGGCACGTGTAGGGCGGTTGACGTCCACAAATATGTAAAGAAACGTTGCATGCCTTAAAGCCAGATTCCAAACCAATCCCATCTACTTTCATTAAATTTGGGGGAAATTTCTTCCAAATAATGAATGTTAACTGTTTTCTACAACATTTATAAATAACTAAATTTAGTTTATTTATTTATTTATTTATTATTATATATATTTTTTTAAAGTTGGATTCCGATCACGATCACGTCAAGTTTATTTCAGACCACAGAGAGAAAGTAATGTCATAAGATCGTAGGTGCTGATGTGTCAATCGTTTATTATTATATTTATTGACTCTAATTGTTTAAAGGGCTCTTCGGCCACATCAATCACGAACATAAACCACTCGGGTTAAGCCCATTGGTCGTTAAATTTCACAGGGCCCAATATACAAGAGGCTCATATAATATATACTTTTTTTTAATATATGTAGTTGTTTAATTGGGTGACATAAATAGAAATATATAATTAGCATTATTTAAGGGAATTATTACTATATCTCTTTTCAACTACCTTTTTCCTTTTATTATTATTATAGTTTAATCTCCGGTTGGTGCAGCCGCCTCTAATATATCTAACCGAACATAATATATAGTAAACATTAGGTAACTTTAATATACAAAGCATAAATAAAAATATTTTGTAAGCTCAAGCCTGTTGACGAGTAAATAATTAAATAAAATAAAATGTGGAAAATGTCACACCCAATGACAGAGAAACCGACAAGGTTGTGATGTATTTTAAGGTAATTTAATCTTTGGGGTATTTTATTAATTATTTTATAATGAAAGTGGAATAAGATTTCAAGTGGAAGGCTACAATAGAAGAATCCAAATAACGATGGTCATTACAATTATTTTAGAGTTAACTAAGTTCAGAGATTATGAAACATGGAATTTTTAAAATGAAATGAAATCCAAAATATAAGAAAAAAAAAGATATTTTCTTTAATTTAATGTAACAAAAATATGTATGAAAATTTAAATATTTGATTTATAAAAGAGATTACCTTATAATCTTAATTAATTTATATAGTTAAACAAGTAGTAATAAGAAATCGAACATGACGAAAGATTCGATTAGATATTTTAACCTAAAGTTTAAGTAGGAATTAATCAACTCCCTAATCCCAAATATCACCGTCACATCACAAAGCCCATATATATAATAATCCCTTTATATATATATATATATATATATATATATATATATATATATATATATATATATATAGATGCACATGAATGTAAATTTCGTATTAGGGAATTATGAAGGAGGAGACAAACGGCGGATTTGTTCTGCCATTGGATAGTTTTCCGACGAGAAACTCATCTATGGGTCGTTCCTCTCGTTCGTACTACTACAGAAGGACTTCTGAAGGGGTTCCGTTTCAGTGGGAGATGCTACCGGGGACCCCCAAGAATACTCCGCCGCTCGTGGAGCCGGTTCCAGTGCGCATCCGCCCGCCGCCGGTTGTGGTCAGCCTTAGCCTCTTGAAGCCGGCCACGGTTCAGAATAAACAGCCGCAGTTTCTGTTATTTCGGCCGTGGAGGAAGCAGTCCAAGTCCAACAACAATTCTCGTCCGTTGGATGACCATCGTTCGAAATTTGGATCTCCATGCAAAGCAAAATCTCCTACGCCGGCGGCGGAATCTCCCGGGCACTGGCGGTTTGGATGCAGTCCATGGAGGATCAACCCTATTAAAATAGGTACTGGAAGGCGAGTTTAATTTCGTGTATTATCGATATCTTTTTTTTGGTAGATTTTGTAAATAAATAAATAAATAAATATTTTCCTTATGAAACTTGTAAGGTGGATAATGTTAAATAAATTAATGGGAAGCTTATTATTATATTTCCTTATATAACTTCAATTAAGGCGTACCATTTATGGAGACCATGAAATGGGGAAGATAGTTAAGAAAATTAGAGGGTCATGAACTTATGTCTTTTTTAATTTTCGGATATAAATTTATGAGATAGAAAAATAAAGAAAACAAATTATTACAAATAATAATAATAATAAAAAGAAATAATAAATTGTAAAATTCAAATTAGGAGGGCATATGAAAGGGAGATATTTCAGGGGATTCAAAAAGTGAAATACAAATTTCCTTAACGATCTTAACAGATATCCAAATGAGTTTAATTCACTTCCCATTTAAACCCCAAACTCCCTCATTTATTTAGCCTCTTATTTTGGGTTCGAAATTCACACAAAGCCATGGGAAACGAACACCGTCTTCATCTCTCTGAAAACCCCTTTTCATTACTCCAAGCAAATGAATTATTCGTCCACAAAATCCTCTCGCGAAACTCCTCAGTCGGCCGCTCTGCCCGTCTCCCTGCCTGTCGCCTGCCCGGTCAAATCCCCTTCATTTGGGAAGCACAGCCCGGCCTGCCCAAGGACAAACCCTCTGAAAATCTCCAGCCACCGCCGTCGCCAAACTCCGTCCAAGGCGCCTCGAAAACTCCTCACCAAGTCCCCGAGCAGCAGGAGGCAGCTAAGATTTGGTTTTGGATGAAGCCGAGGAAGAAACTGAGGAATGTGGTTAAGAAAAACGGTGCGTTTGGATCCTCCTCCTCATCGAGACGACATGTCAATCAAGAGAGTGAGTTTTATAGAAAATCAAACGACGAGTCGTCATCGTCTTTGAGTTGTATTTCTCATTCTCTGTCTTCCAGTTCTTCGTCGTCCAATGGCTATGCCCGACGTCGGTCTAAACTCAGTAGCCTGGCCAAAGGGTTCTTACGGTGGGCCTTCTGATTGAGTTTTTTTTTTTTTTTTTTTTTTTTTCTTTTTTTGGTAATTTTCTCGTTATCAATTTCCATTTCGCACGCTTCAAAATAATGTAATTTGTG